ACCTACAGTACTTGAATGAGCCATGTCCCCATTCATCAGCCTGGCCAATCTCAAGATCTCAGTCAGGCAGTGGGGCCCTCAAGCAATAAGTGTGTGTAGTTTAAACTGTGGATTCTTTGTATGTGCCTTCTGCTTCTGAACCTTTAAACTCAGGGACACATTGTCCAGCTTTTCTCTGAGCTGAGAGGGAGTGATCTTATGAGAAGGAGTCTCAGCCACACGCTGGGGAAGTAAGGGAAGGGGAGGCCTTGTTAGTTTAGACTCCAGAACAGCATTTCTCAAATGTGGCCACCAGCCGATTGTTTGTTTTGTAGCCACGAGAGCCTCCAAAGTGGTCAAACAATTGCTGAGATGTTAAGTGTCATAAATCATAATGCAACTGTTGTGGTTACTAGGCCTGCCTGAGCCAGAGTTCTTCCATATTTAAACTCTGTCCTTCCATGTTTAACTCTAATCTACCTCAACAACCAAGGACAGGAATTGGAATGTGTAAATAGCCAGTTAAACTAACAAGCTAGATTTATAGCCCTAGAATGATTTAGTTGCTTAAATGTATAAACATGCCTTCGGTAGAGAGGGGAGGGGGAGTAGAGGGGGGGCTTAGTTGTAAAGTGTATAAAGAAGAGAGAAACTGTTTTTGCTGGTGTGCTCGATTTGAGACTTGCCTGTCTCCTTGCACCACTTTGGGATCTCAAATAAACTTTGATTGTTTCTCCACCCCGGTATGTTTATTGGCACGAAGCACTCCAGGCACCGAACCCCACTGTTGCTGTCCTCAGGCCCCTGTGCCGGCAACACGCCCTCCCTTCTAAATAGTACGGTGCAGGCAGAGCTGAACTACATAGGTGTGGTTTTCTTTCAGGTTACAAAGCATATTCATTGGCTAATCACTGTGTTTACATCTCATGTTACTGTAGCTCTGTAAGAGGCTATTAGCCATCTCACTGCATCTCACTGGTGTTTGGGTAGGTTGCGATTGTTCATGGGGGGAGGTGAAAGAGTTAAATATGCGAATGGGGATCAGAAAGTATTTCAAATAATCCAGTG